ATGAATAACTATATATAGCCCGCTTTTCTATTTCATGTATTTGTTCTGAGGAATCATCTTCTAAAATTCATACTGTCATTCCTTCTACAATGAAAGGAGGTCTTCAAATATATTGCGATGAGGAATAAAACATTTGAAAATCCATTACTTATTACAAACGTTTAAGAGCTAATACAACCAAAAAAGGAATTAGAGGTTTGCATGAGGGAGATATATTCCTTAATTAGATGAATTCAAAAAAATGTGTAACCACAAATTTGAATCAGACAATATCCGTATGCGTTCATGCCAGTACCGCTGTACTGGCTACAGGGCTAATGAAACCCTCGTAGACTTGTAGTCCACCAGCAGAGGTATCGACTGAGTGGTATTAATGATATTAAGGCAACTAATTTTTACTGCAACAGATGCGCATTTCGATAACTAATGTCTCTTCAGTGATGCACGAAGCCAAAATGTCTGAAAATACAAACGTTAAAAAGGTGATAAAACCAAAAAGGACCGAAAATTATAGATATCTGCTCCAAAATCTTCAATTACAATTTTGCCCACCATTTTCTTCATTTGCAATTTAATCCACCATTTCCTTCGGAAAATACCTGTATAAAGTCAGTAATATGACAGTTGTTTTTCACTCTTTCCGTTGATTGATAACGTTTGATTTTGTCAGTTTTTATAGACTTCCCCTTTTTGAATATACCTTGGAGTTCGGTATTTTTGTAATTCCTTTTACAATGATATCAATATTTATGATTTTTCTGCACTCTACACAACTGTTCCCTATGTTCAATTGAGAGACTGTCTACATCTTCTCATTAACATTGCTTGTTCTACAGAAATGGAAATCGTATATTGGTTTTCGTTATTTTTAGGTTACGAACAATCTTACTATGTGAAGAACCACATTGATTCAAACAAATAAAATATCTGAGACTACGTCATCAAAACACTGGACATTTTAGTCGACAACATATTTGTTGAGGTCTTTAATTTCATTTTCAGATATATTGATGATTTACTGTTTCTCTATAATCCATAGTGTATGCAGTTAGTACTTTCATCCCAAATATCATAATGATTTTCTTGCTCCTGAGACAAAAGCTCTGCCAGCAAAGTACACAAGATGTACCTGACGCATACACGAAATTAGTTAAAAGATACTGTGTGACGGTGTTTCAACTTACAACCTGTTTGACCCCGTGGGTTTCACCGGCCAATCAACCAGTACTTTTGATTTGCCACGAAATACTGTTGTTATAAAATTTTGAAATTAATTTTGACTTAAAAGAATAAACCCATAGCTCTGATTTCTTTACTATGTTTGGCTTCACTTCTGGTCCTTTTTGGTTTTATCAGCTCTTCTTCGTTTGTTTAAGATTTTGAATTGTCAAATATTTTGACTTCGGGCATCACCGAAGAGAAATAAATCTGGTACATTTAAATTGGTATTGTTAACTACCACTGGTTCAATGCATCTGATGTTGGACTGTTAGTCTCAGAGGGTATCATCAGCCCAGTAGCCAGTACGTCGGTACTGGCATGAAAATATGGATATTTTCTGATTGAAATTTGCTGTTGTAAAACTTTTTAAATCATTTTGAATTAAGGAATATATCTCCCTCATGCAAAGCTTTAATTCCTTGTCCTTTTTAGATTTAATCACCTCTGCAACGTTTATATCATGTTTTTGATTTTCAAATATTTTGGCATCGAGCATCACTGAAGAGACATTAAGTGCCAATCTGCCTAAGAATCAGGCAGTGGTGAAAACATGACAAACTAAAACCCACTCAAGAGCACATTAATGTATGTTCAAAATATATAATGATGCACAAATATAACATTCGTATCCTTGTCCTGTTCTGGTAATTCAAGATATAATTTGGTTGAAATGCACTAGAAATTAACAATTAAGGGGAGCTAACTCCGTAATTTGGTATTATTCTAACCAAAATTTATCTAGAGATATCTCGAATTACCAGACACGCAGAAATGAAAGACCTACCATTTCTAACTTAGGATGAGGGTAACTTCAAAATAGGATAGTTAGGTCGGTGGGTTTTTCTTTCAGCCATGTTTTGTTTTTTTTTTCAAAATTGCCCGATTCTTACAAAGACTGGCATTTAATCGTCGAAATGCGTAAATGTTACTGTAGATCTTATTTAGTGGCATTTGTGTAGATCTTGTATTCATGGTCATTTTTACATATATGTTATACTTTATAGTTTCGACATAATTAGCAAAAACACAAATATTAGTCAAAATCAAATAAGAGCAATAACTCCTAAAAGAGTCATCCAATGATTTCGATCATTTGGAATTTTTTTATAGATCTTCAATTTCAACCATCTATTATAGTTTTGAAGTTAATTGACCAAAACACGAAAATTTGTCAAAAATCTTCATCTATGGTCAATACTTCTTTAGTAATCATCTAATGGTTTTGGTCATATTGGCTTATTTTTAGCTATTATATTGCTGATCATTCTTCCTAGATGATAGGCAAAAATCGTCAATTAAGGGCGATAACTCCCTCAAGGATTCATCCAATGGTTTCGGCCATATGGCATTTTTCTAAAACTTGTTTTCCTTGTCATTTTTGCTGTGTATAGTTTCTGTCTATCTATTATAATTTTTGAGAAAAAAGTCAAAACATGGATATTTGTTTAAAAAATCTTCATTTAAAGACAATAACTCCTTGGTAGAAGTTGAAGCTTTCAAGTTATAAGACAATACATGCATTTTAATCTTATGAACTATTTTAGCCATGGCAGCCATGTTTATTGATAGACATGAATCAAAAACACAAGCTTTAAACTAAGGATCATTTAAGATCATCCAATGGTTTCGGCCATTCGATATTTTTCTAGAACTTCAAGTATTTAAGGACAATACTTTCACAGATGATAGCGGATATGTTCCTAATGTCGTAACTACAATCTCGTCCCCCTTTTCCCGAATGTGACCTACCGAATTAAGACTTATTACCGGGTTTGTACTAACATGAGCAACACGACGGGTGCCACATGTGGAGCAGGATCACAAGTAGTTCCTATCAAACTGACTAAGCAGAAAACTTAGCAAATGATATGGGACTTTTCGTTTTGAATTTTCCTTGGAGTTCAGTATTTTTGTAAATTTACATTTTACGCCCTCGACACCGATGGAAAAGCAACAACTTTGTCTTGAATTCAGTGATTTTAGTCTCAGGCGAAACAAAAATTGAAAACATCACTTAATACATTTTTATACGTCCAAAGTGATTTTCTTAATTCAGGAATGCTCAAAGCCGAATATTTGAATGCCTAGGATATATAAGAACAGAAATTGTTGAAGAGCTATATGACCAAAATGAACCTAAAATAATAGCCAAATCCATCTACGGTCAACTTTGCCTGAGGGAGTTGAAACCTTAGTTTCTAAATAATTTATAAATCTATAAATTGACAATTTAAGAAAGATTTGTTGTCAATCATTTCAGTAGCTGAAGTACTGACTTCTGAACTGATGTTACCTTCAGGGACTTTATCCAACAGCAGCGGTATCAACCCAGAAATGAAAACAACACTTTATAAATTTCATTCATCCAATGCCCTTTTCTGGATTTACCTTCATCATAAATGCACAAAGCCAAATATTTGATAGCCAAGGATTTAAAAGAACCAAAACCATTAAAAGAGCGATATAATCAAAATGAACCTAAAATAATAGCCAAGTCCATCTTAAGGACGTTCGCTCCTCTTGTTTTTGAGTTTTTGTCAGATATTCGGAATCCTCTAGTTTTATCCATGTAATGCCAATAAATATTTTGCCCGTTAACCCCTACTTTTCTTTATATAATTTTGTTAAATATAGTTAAAAAAGCTATATTTGAAAATCTTATAAAATCCTTGTTATTTTTTAATAGTTTTAGAAAGAAAAAAGCTGCCAATGTTAAATGTATGAAAAATCTAGAGAGAATCACTTCCCGCCAAATTTTCAATGGCTTATATCTCGAAAACAAGCACACGGACCCTTCAATTTTTTCAGCTTTTTTAGTTCCTTTATTCATATACTTTCAATTTATAACAGTCTTTTAGAGAGCTTGTTATTTTGAAGCAGAGTAGCGAACATCCTTAAAGAGGTCAATTGACGATTTTCAATATGTTGACTTATTCGAAGATGGTATTTTGCTGAACACTTTTGCTATATACAATTTCTCCTTTTCTATTAAAGTTTCTATAAATACACAAAGATTGGTAAAATTTATCCTTCAAGGGCAATTACTCCTTTGACCATGTTGACTAATTTGTAGCTCTTAATGTTCTGGACTCTTATCATTAAAATTTTTCCATTTTAATAGTTAACCACAAACTGCAAAATTTGCATAAAATAGACATTTCAGATGCAATTAGTTCAAAGTATGTGATACACCTTTACCTGTTAATCATTTTACTATATGTCAGTTTTGGTTTAATTGCTTATATTTTTGATACAGAAGCCAAAAACTGCAGTTTTTACCCTATGTCTATCTTTAGCAACAGTAGCCATGTTTGTCGATGGATCAAATTCCAAGATACACTTTTAAACAAGATTCCTAAGAAACATTTAGGTAAACTTCAGTAACATTTGGACTAGTCGTTTCAGAGAATTCTTTTTTTAAACTTTTACAATGATGGACTGACTGATGGACAAAGGAAGCACTTCCAATATTTCTTGTGTAACTGCAGTAAAATTTTCACATCCTTCTCTCCACAGGAAATCAGAAAAAAAAAACTTTTTTGTCACTTGCTAAAATTGCTGCTGAAATTCTGAATAGCAGAATTCTGTAAATTTTTAACTATTTAGAAGTGACACTTTAATGAAATAATCAACTGTAATAATATATATTATGCAGAGGGGCTTTCAAATGAAATCAACCAGATTAATTTTTTTTATGATTAATTCAAAATTCTGTCAGATAAAGTGAAGTAAAGTGATGGTATTTATCTAAACTAATGTCTTCATTGACAATAAACAAGTAGAAAACAATGATGTTTTATTCTAAAAAATAATTTTACAACTTCTTGTAAATACTTCAAATGTACATAAGAATAAAACACAATGACATGATACAAAACATCAATGATAATTTACATGAGAACTATGATTATTGATTGATTAATTACATAATACAATAAATGTAAGTCATTTTGATAAATAAATGAAACTAAATGTGCGATAAGTGTGGTCAAATCAAAGTAGAGCAAATGTTTTGTTGGTGTAAAATTTAAAATATATATACAAGACAATAGTGGCTGCATTAGATATAAAACTAAAAGAAATTGAGTACCATAATAACATGTAACTTCTGATGACTGTTAAATTTACATGTTATAGTTACATTTAGATATATTTTAATCTACATGAAATCATTGTTTAAATTGGAATAAAGATATGTTGGGTATGCATGTACTTTCATTGCAGCATTGCATTAGTAAAAGACCTCTCCATTCATCAAAAATCAATACAATTAATACAATGCCCAATAAGACACACATTACTGTAGAATTCGCATCTAGAATTTAGGGATATTTCATTATTAATATTGAAATGGGAGAAATGGAAGGGACTTACAAAGCCTCCCACAGCCATCAAAGCTTTTTTGTAATTATACATAATCCTCCACATTAATTCTAATGGAATTGCTCTCGTGATAAAGTATGTTATTTTTCAAGAAACACTGCTTTTAAGCCTCCTTTCATAATACATATAAAAGGTCTGCAAAAATATACATCATTCAGGAGTCAAATAAGATGTTGCTATAACTCATTACAACTTATTACAACAATGCCATGTTTATAACCGTATTTAAACTATCTATCTTTATTTTCCTTTGTATTTTACTGATATGGCATAACTGGTCTTTTGCATTTGCACTAATTAGTATTTCATTTGCGCAGATGTACTTTTCATTTGCACCAATATAAAATATATGATTTGAACCAATTAACAGAGAAACACATATTAAACATATGTTGTATTTTTTTTTTATATAATTTGTTGATGTGATTACATCTTATGTGTCTGTCATATATCATACTCCTAATTCTTACCATGTTGAGGTGGAAGTAGGATTAGAACAGGGTAAATTTAATTTATAATTTTCTTAAATCTTTTATTATCTCCACATAAAATAGCTCTGAACCTCATTGTGTACAGTGTATCAACACACACATGACTTCACATGTACATTAAAAACTCAAGCTATACTTCTGATGTACTTGATCATGCAAAATAATCTATAATTAAACCCCTTACATAAATCTGATTTTTTTTAAGAATAAAAGTGTTTAATATTGCAGATAAGATTATCCAATATTCTGTTAAAATGTATGCATAAATGTACATTTATTTGAATAAATAACTTTAAATTAGCTATAACACAATGATTAAAACAGTCATACTACACTCATATCTTTACAAAACTCCACATTTAATTATTAACTTAAAGACATACAGATGTTCAAGTGAGCAAAGTTCTATACTTATTTTAATTTTTTCCTAAATACTATCTAATAAATAAGACACAAAAGTTTTAAATTATATAAAAACAGGCATAACAGCAATGAACAATTCAAATTTTGATTTTACTTTCTTCAGATAAAATGCCTTAATTTGACAGAATTCTTTTATATTACAGACAAAGTAAAATCAAAAGTTTATTCTTTTATCAGAAATTTGTTTGCCATATACTGATGCAATAAGATCAAGAGAACTAAACTTAGTTTGGTTTGGTTTATACACCAATATAGCAATAAAATTGATCAAGTCCTAATGACTGTTATTCAAAACTTCAAAGTACAGTTGTTTTTTACGGTCTCATTTCATCCAAATCATGACTGAATGACTTATAAATAACTTTGTTAACACTCCATAGACATCTAAAACAAACAAGGTTTTCCTGATTTGGTAAAGATTTAACATATACTGTACAGACAAACAAGGCTTTTCACACCTTGGTAAAGATTTAACATATACTGTAGCGAAAAAACATAGCTTTTCCCGACCTGGTAAAGATTTACCATGTACTGTAGAGACAAAACAATCCTCTGTAGCAAAAAATCTAAAATGAGTTAATTACAATGATGAAAAGATTTAATGATTCATTCCTCACAATGAAAAAAATTACAAAAGTCATACAAATAAATAATGTTTCCTTTCAATATATCACAATTAATGAAGGTGACGTAACAATGTAAATTAAAAATCCTGGCAAAGATCATTTGGTATTACAAATAATGCACGATGTGAAGAATTCTTAATCTACAATATTCCTGATGGAAATGAGAATGAAATTCTTCCACTTATAGGTGATAGGCTTATTTAAAGATATGAATAGTTTACATGTGTGTAATCTGTATTGACAATATTGTTACACTTGAGCAAATCACTGATTGTTCAACTGTTGATTCTATATTATGTACCATATCTATACTAATAGCCACTGCCTTAAACAATCTCCTCTGCTATTTGAAAGGAAAACATTGTTATTTGATTCATAAAATCAAACAGAAGAAAACAAAACAAAAAGTTTTAACCTGGTAGCAAAAAATGTCTGCATATTCTTTTACATACAGCAATTAAAAATGTAGTTAGGTGTGCTTTCAAACCAAATGCACAAAACATATAACATCAAATATATAAAACCAGTTTTATGAAATTCAATTTTTCCTTTTACTCCTTCCCACTTCCTTTTTTCTGAGAACCGCAACACTTTTAGGGCTCTTATAAAAATTAGTATATCGCACAAAACAAAGATTGTATTTTGTGGAGACAAATTGTTCCTTGAAAAGCATTTGAACACACAATTATATTTGCATACAATCAATACTATCAACTAAAATAACTGGGACAAAACTGTTGTGTAAGACTTCCAATTATTCGTGGGACATCAGTTTTCATGGTTTTTCGTGGGTAGAATTAAACCACAAATTTCAATGTTCAACAAAGTATAAATTTTTTATGGGCTTTTATGGCAGACCTTGGCAAAAGTTCACAAAAAATACAATTTTTCTTCAATCCACGAAAATTGATATGCACCAAAATAAATGAATTAACAGTAACCTTAGAAAGCAATATGATCTGTAGATTTCCAATCAATTTAAAAACAAGGTTTGGTAACAAAATTAATATAATTCATTGGCTTCACAGAAGTAAATAAAACATCAGCAACATCAATCCCCATATAATAAACATTCATATGACATGTATTATGTTCTTAAAGTAGACGGGTCAGAAAGACTAGTTACATATATCTCACAAAACCATTAAAATGATCTTCCTGACTAATCATTTTGATAGTCACCTATCATATTACTTGATTACAGAAACAAAGTGTAAAAATAACACCGTTCTCTAATCAAAACTGTCATATCTGCCATTTCGTTCTTTGCGGATATGACTCTGTTCTCTACTTAATTCTGTACACTTTGGACATTTATACACAACTGTTCATTTCATAAAATTTTTAGGACAGTTAAAAAAACATAAATAGTGAAATATTTGATATTTAAAACCAATACAGGCAAACATAATTCTTACATAACATTTATTCAATTTTTTATCATATAATATCATTGGTAATTTTTTGTCCTTTTATGTATTTCAGCATTCTAAATATACATGACACATGACTTTCATGAAATACAAATGTTAGGGATTTTTAAAATCTTCGATAAAAAATAAAAGAAAAAAAGTTTCTTAAATCATCAGACGAAGTTTTTTTATTGGATTGATATGTTTATATTTTACATGATATATGTTTAAAAATTCTACCAATTCAAAGAAAATTTCACACATGTAACACAATTTTTCAGCAACTGATACCCAAATTGTGTGTGGATTCAAGAAAAAAAAACATCTTACGTTGCATTATTGTCAGTGAATAATAAATAAATCAATGGATAAACAAATTATCTGATGGCCTCCTCCTTAAAAGGTTGTGAGTAATTAATAGGTGCACAACAAATACTGATGTTATCATAACATAAACAGAGGATCAATTTCTAAAATTCAGTACATCTCAGGATGTCATTATAAAATCTCATACATTCAGCATGTATACAAAACACATTCAGCATGTATACAAAACACATACAGCATATATACAAATCACATTCAGCTTGTATACAAAACACATTCAGCATGTATACAAAACACATTCAGCATGTATACAAAACACATACAGCATGTATACAAAACACATTCAGGATGTATACAGAACTTATCTGTGAAATATCTAACAAGTCACAAAATAGGAGGATGCCTTATAAAATCTCACACATACAGCATGTATACATAATTCATTGGTGAAATATCTAACCGTATACATCATTCATCGTTGAAATAACCAGTCACACAACAGGACACATTCAAAAAAATTCAATGCACTCAAAAAGTCTAAATACATTAAATTTCAAAAAGTTAGACATATGGTATGTATTCAAAAGTTATTGGTTAAATATTAACCAATCACAACACAGGAATACATTTTAAAACTTAATGTATTCTTGTTCTCTTCAGAAAACATCACACACACAGCATGTATTCTTAAATAAAACTGTTTTCGTTATCAAATCTTTAAAGTTCTTAAAACTCCTCATGGACTTAATTAGCTGATAATTTTTATCCAAACTGGAAACTAAATCCCCCAGGAAAACCTCCACCACCATGACCACCACTGTTGCCACCAAATGAAAAACCATTTCCACCTCCTCCAAAAAATTGCTGGAATATCATATTTGGGTCTATATGATCTGAAATTATAAAAATGTTTCATTTTATAATACAACTCAAGATCAATGAAAAATTAATTTGCACATATGTTCTTCAATACACCCAATCCTTGTTTGTAAGGAAACACATTTTCATGCTGATTTATAATAAACTATAAAATATCATTTGCACAAAAATATAATTTCTACATTTTTTTAAGAAGATGAAGCTAAGATGAGGTTTAGTAAGGCCCAACTATGGCCACCATTTCTAGCTAAAATTTCAAATGGGGATTCAATTTATCAAAATTTATCATATCAAAACCAATGACTAGATATTAAAATAATCTTTCTTTAATTTAAATATCCGTAATTTTTTTCACGATGTAGAAATTAGCATAATTTCAAATCTCCAACAAATTCATTGGAAAGAGGCCAACATCCATTGGTTTTAAAATAAAGGAAACACATAGTGCATAAATCAACTAAAAAAGATCTTTTAACAGTAGGCTGTAATAATTTACGAATAACACATATCTGACATGAATATCTAGTTGATCAGAATCCTGCATTCCAAGTTTCCTGTACCTAAATATTGATGAAATTAAGAAGATATTGTGAACTTTTACCAAATGTCTATGTTTGGCATTTTTGAGAGTAAATGTTTTATCAGGAAAAATTGCCACAACATATTCCATTTCTCTTTCTCATATATCCATGAATGATTATAGAAGACTTTACTAACTTGTAAAACTTGTGTCTGATCCATTTGTCATTTTTAACAATACTATATTTTATGATATATTAATCAACTTATGGGCCTTGGGTATAGTTTATTATTACTCAATACAAATAAAAGCAAAACAGCTAAAAACTTGAATAACAACATAAAAGACCCTTGTAGATTTGTATACTGTGAAAGTACTTTTATTCATGGGGTACCAATTTTCGTGGTTTTCTTGGATGGCTTTATCCACAAATTTAAGTGTCCAACGAAATATAACAATTGTTGTCCAAATCAAGACATGGAAAGATCCCCATGTAGGTTTGACTACATGGATATGGGCATATAATATAGAGAAAGGATTTTATCCATTTAATCTTTAAAAACCTAATAGGTAAGACTTTTAACCTTTTAATTCTCATGAAAAATTAGTTTTGATTGATGAAAGTCACACTTTCGGTGATGATATTCAATGATGAAGTGTTAATTTTATTTCCACATAAATTCGCATACACAAAAATTGATTAATTTCATATTGGGCTTGCTTTTTTATTTCATAAGAATTAATAATACAATTCAAAGTACATTTGTAGCATTTTTTTATGTAACTGTTTTCTTTAGGTGACATGTTATTGGCCCTATTAACACCTTCATGATGATAATCTGTTGACCATTCGATCTCCGTTTAATTAGTGTCATCACTTCTGATTACATGTGTGCATCAATTAAAATGTTTACTTTGCAATTTCCTGAGACAATTTGTAAGATTATTTCAGAAAGCAATTATTCTATTGAAAATTTGATAAATGTTGTCAGTAATGAAAGACGTTCAAGCAAGCGGAAATGAAGACCTTATTTGGCAATTGTATTATATGTTTCTAGTCCCACACATCATAACAAAACAACACATGATTTTTTTCAAGAATCTTCTTTTCTGACAGCTTCAAATTCTTCACTCAATTTTTTTCAGAAAACTAAAATCCATGAATTTAAGGTGGTTCATAACACTACAGGGAGATAACTCTGTAAAAATCAACTGAACGTTTTAATCACGTTCTATAGTAAAGGAAGTATTAAGCTTCTCAATGATCAAAATTAGTGTCAAACTGCTAAATATCCAATAAAAATCTAGTTTTTTGAAATTTTAATATTTTTGTCAAAGGGTCTAAGTTAAATTTTGTCAAAATTGTATGAAAATCAAACAAGCCAAATTAATTTTATTCAAGGTGTTTGGTACCACCTTAAGAACCCACGAACATGTAACTTTTGTTCAAACCATGAAAATTGATACCCACGAATAAAAGTAGTTTCACAGTATTTACAACATTTATACTCACCAAAGCCTCCTCCACCCTCTAAATCATCTATATCAGCACCGCTATCGTAACGTTCTTTCTTTTTAGGGTCGGATAAAACACTGTATGCTTCACCTATTTCTTTAAATATTTTTTCTTCATCTTTTTGTTTTTCAGGTGTATCATGACTGTGTCGATCTACAAAAAAAATATCAATAGGTACTTAATTGTAGACAGGAGAACTTATGATAAGAACTCTTGTTTGGCCCCTTTAATTAGAACATCAAAAAGTATAATAATTCAATTAAATTAAATCCTTCAGATGTTATTTAATGACATCAGACTGTCAGATATCAGAATTTTTTATTTTGCTTTAGGACATTTAAAAAAACTTCTTGCATTTGACGTAAAACTGCAAAAGCTGCTTTAATAGACTCTTCATAAGATTGTGTCATTAACATTTAGATATGAAAAACAGCTTTAACAATTACAGTGATTGTCAACATACCTGGATGATGTACTAAAGCTCGTTTTCTATAACTTTTTTTAATTTCATCGTCTGTGGCTGTTTTAGTTACACCTAACAACTTATAATAGTCTTTTCGTTTACTCTTTTTCAATTCTAATTTGGCCTCTTGTAATAATCTTTTATTTTCTGAAAAATAAGAATCATCATCAAAACAAAAAGAAACATTTCCATGATTTCTACAAAGGATAAAAATCAACATTATTTGTGCAATTACAAAATAATAATAAAAATAATGTTCACTATCAATTGCAATCTTAATTCTAAAGCAATATTGCACTGCATGATATACTACAGTCAAACTTTTGGTTAAATTCAAAAGGGATTATAACATAATTATACAAAAATACTTTTTATTCCATTTTAAGTAGCTTTCTAAAGAATCAATTGAAAATATTTCACGGGCCATTGCCACTGACCTGTGATTTATTGTCCATCAAAACCAAAAACAAAATAGATGTGCTTTGAATGTTTGTTTCTTAGTACCATGTGACTTTGTATATTTAAATATTAAGATGACCTTAACTGACCAGCTAACAAAATTGGATTTCATGTCATGTGATTGAAAGTGATGATCATTTTCATTGGTGTCCTTAAATATTTAAACAGGTAAAGTAACATGGTATAAAGAAACGTGGACAGTTGTTACACTATTTATACTAACTCAATCAAGCAATAACATTTCAAAAAAATAAAATGAACATAGAGACCAAATGTGAAACTATTTTAATTATAGACCAAAAATTATGAAATCAATAGTCAGAGTTCGTATATATCATATATTAACATACATCAAGGAAGAAAATATTGATTTGAAAAAACGGATTTTTTAGAATTTTTTTCTGCAAATATATAGAAGTCAAATGGACAATAAGTCAGGTTGTAAATATTTAATGGCACAAAGTAAAGAAATCTAGTTTGGTTTTTCTCTGAACCTGAATGAATAGTCTTAATTTCAATGAAGTATACAGTACATGAAATCAGTACTCTCTCATAACAGTTAATACTTATATCGATGTTGTTGTTTGTTTTACGTTCAAAAGGGCAAATATTCTATGCATCTTCAGGACAGTAGCAAATGTACATTCTAAATTATGACTTGCATTAAGCATGCTGATACTAACAAATAAAATAATAGTTGTTTGCCTTGCAACCACTTACCGACCCCTCAGAATATGACGATAAAGAGTTCAGGGGACAGATTAAGGTTTTTTTCTGAGAATAGTTTTCAGTTTATTACTGATTTGTGCAGACAATGGATTATCAGTACTCGAGATGGGTAATAAAAAACTGTTGACCACTGGTTAAGTGGCTTAACCAGTGACTAATTAACCATACTTCAATTTTGTTTTTGAGCAATGGAAAAATAGCCAACGGATAGTTAGGCACTGGATAGGAAATTTATCCATTGGATGAGCTAACCAATGGCTAAATTACGCCATAGTTTTGAGCAACCCAGTCAAGTAGAAATAATCATCAAAATCACACTGAAACCTTCAAAACAACTGTTAATTGGTAACTTCTAAAAAGCTCACCAGAGAATCTAAACAGAAACCTGATTGATATGAAAACTTTGCTACACTGTCTTTGCATCTTACAAGAAACTTACAGCATAATATCTAGTTATTTAACTTGAGTAAACAAAACACCAACAATGTTTTCAGTATATTATGAGGTTCAGTTTATTCAAGGTTTTCTGCACTTTTAATATACTAACCTCGACTTCTGTCTAATTTATTTACTTTTTCATAATCACGAACTGCTTCTTCATATAATTCCATATCCATATAACTGAAAAAATTCCAGACATTTATAAGATCAGGCTAAAAACAGGCTTAAATTAGGGTAATTTACATAAATTTGGACGGGTTAACTCTAAAATTCTCAATCAGCTGCATATTTTTATTACAAACTTTACATCTGTTCTGTTTTGATTCAAATTGTTAACAAATAAATATTAAAAGTAGGAACAACTCAAATAAGAACAGTTTCTCAAGCATCTTTATATTTTTAGTTTGATATTGTAAAATACCAGCTGTGAGTCACAATACAAAGTTTTTGTTTAGCGAGTGCAGCTAGCTAGTTCAAAGGTTTCTAGGGGCCTTGGTGGCCAAGTGGTCTAAGTAGTCCAGCTATTGTACCACTAGCCTGTCAACACTGAGGTTGTGAGTTTGAGATAGTAGAAACGGTAGTTTTTTTTCTATTCACCAGCAAACCAGTAGAGGGCTTGGGTATGTTTATTTCTTTTAGAAACATGTAATATTAAACTCAGGTATTCTCACCATAACAAGTAAACATAGAAAACCAAAATGAAATAAAATTAACAACCATTGTTTGCTTTTTTAGATATTTTTTACTAAATCAGTTAAGGTATTATAGAACCTTATTAAACATACTGTTTTTATCTCTGTATAGGAATTAAGATTGATTGCAAATTTTTAAGTGTCTGTTATTCAGTTATGTTCAAAGTGTACTCAATTTAAAGTTTGATACATAGTACGGACAACTGTCAACAACTAAACATAACTTGCTGATCTCTGTATTTTGTATTGTTGTTATATGTTTTAAGCTGTCTCATTGATAACTCACACATATCATTTTATTCATATCAATAAGTAACTGAATTGTGATTCTGCAAAATTATCACCACAGGAGAAATAAGAGTGATTGACTCTGGACATTAAATACCCAAAAACTATCTGGAAAACCCAGAAAAAAGTGGATTGAAAACTATTAAAACATTCATCAGTCATAGTGGTGATTTGTTTTTCTATACTATGGCAATTTGGCTTTCACTAAAAGGTATTTGAAATATTTAATCAACTGCTCTTTTCATGTATATCCTAAATTAAATTACTTCAATACAGATTGAATAAGAACTAAGCCAATATCATGAATATGATAGTTTTAAAAATCCTGTATGGTATTTAACAGTACAATGAAATCCTATCACCAGATTGCAATAAAATGCTTCGCTGGGCGCAGCTTGATATGACCGCAGAGGTCGAACCCTGAACAGTTGGGGCAAGTATGGACACAACATTCAAGCTTGATACAGCTCTGAATTTGGATTGTGATTAAATATTTGACACAGCATAGGTTTCTGACACAGAAAGAATGTGGTCTAAGAACTTCAATTTTTTTAATTTACCTATTATGGTCCAATGTCCAAAATCAAAATACATGGTTAGATTCAGCATATCAAAGAACCCCATATATTCAATTTTTGTTGAAATCAAACAAAGTTAATTTTGGACCCCAACTTGGACAAACTTGAAAACTGGTCCCATAATCAAAAATCTAAACACATGTTTAGATTCAGCATATCAAAGTACCCCAAGAAATCAATTTTTGTTAAAATCAAACTAAGTTTAATTTTGGACCCTTTGGACCTTAATGTAGACCAATTAAAAAAAACGGGACCCAAAATAAAAATCTAAAAACACGGTTAGATTTGGCATATCAAAGAACCCCAATAATTCAATTTTTGATGAAATCAAACAAAGTTTAATTTTGGACCCTTTTGACCTCAATATGAACCAATCTGATAGCGGGCCCACAAATAAAAAATCTAAAAACATGGTAAGATTCAGCATATCAAAGAACCCCATATATTCAATTTTTGTTGAAATCAAACAAAGTTTAATTTTGGACCCCAATTTGGATCAACTTGAAAACTAGGCCAAAAATCTAAAATCTAAATACATGTTTAGATTGAGCATATCAAAGAACCCCATATATTCAATTTTTGTTGAAATCAAACAAAGTTTAAATTTGGACCCCAACTTGGACCAACTTGAAAACTGGTCCCATAATAAAAAATCTAAACACATGTTTAGATTCAGCATATCAAAGAACCCCAAAAATTCAATTTTTGTTAAAATCAAACTAAGTTTAATTTTGGACCCTTTGGACCTTAATGTAGACCAATTTAAAAAACGGGACCCAAAATTAAAAATCTAAATACACGGTTAGATTTGGCATATCAAAGAACCCCAATAATTAAATTTTTGATGAAATCAAACAAAGTTTAATTTTGGACCTTTTTGACCTCAATATGAACCAATTTGATAGCAGGCCCACAAATAAAAAATCTAAATACATGGTAAGATTCAGCATATCAAAGAACCCCATATATTCAATTTTTGTTGAAATCAAACAAAGTTTAATTTTGGACCCCAATTTGAACCAACTTGAAAACTGGGCCAAACATCTAAAATCTAAATACATGTTTAGATTCAGCATATCAAAGAACCCCATATATTCAATTATCAAAGAACCCCATATATTCAATTTTTGTTGAAATCAAACAAAGTTTAATTTTGGACCCCAACTTGGACAAACTTGAAAACTGGGCCCATAATAAAAAATCTAAACACATGTTTAGATTCAGTATATCAAAGAACCCCAAGAATTCGATTTTTTTTTAAATCAAACTAAGTTTAATTTTGGACCCTTTGGACCTTAATGTAGACCAATTTAAAAAACGGGACCCAAAATTAAAAATCTAAATACACGGTTAGATTTGGCATATCAAAGAACCCCAATAATTAAATTTTTGATGAAATCAAACAAAGTTTAATTTTGGACCCTTTTGACCTCAATATGAACCAATTTGATAGCGGGGTCCACAAATAAAAAATCTAAATACATGGTTAGATGCAGCATATCAAAGAACCCCATATATTCAATTTTTGTTGAAATAAAACAAAGTTTAATTTTGGACCCCAATTTGGACAAACTTGAAAACTGGGCCAAAAATCAAAAATCTAAATACATATTTAGATTCAGCATATCAAAGAACCCCATATATTCAATTTTTGTTAAAATCAAACAAAGTTTAATTTTGGACCCTTTGGACCTTAATGTAGACCAATTTGAAAACTGGACCCAAAATTAAAAATCTAAATACACGGTTAGATTCGGGAAAACAAATAAATAAATGTGGTCAAAGATTTTACAAATCTAATGTGCCATACTGGTCTTCCTTTATAAATATGCATTTCTTTAAACATAATTTAAAAGCAGTGTAAGGGAAGTAACCAAAGCGTTGTATTTGGATTACCTCCCTTACACTGTTTTAAATTATCTTAATTGTTAATTAATCATTACTTTATACATAATTTAAAAGCAGTGTAAGGGAGATAATTTCAATGATGTATTTGATTTATCTCCCTTACACTGCTTTAAATTATGTTTTGTACTAAAGTATTTGTCCATTAATGAGGTCAACCTTGTTTTTCCCCCTTTTTTGCCCCTAATTCTTAAACGGTTTGAGCAATAACCCCCCAAAGCAAATCCTAACCATCCCTTTGTGGTATGGAAACTTGTAGTATAATTTCAGAGAGATCCATACACCGTTCCACAGTTATTGTCTGGAATCTAGAAAATGCTTATTTTTGGCCCCTAATTCCTTAACTGTTGGTACCATAACCCCCAAAATCAATCCCCACCTTCCTTTTGTGGTATTGAACCTTATGGTAAAATTTCATAGAGATCCATTCACTTAAACTAAAGTTAGAGTGCGAAAACTAATGCGTCTTCGGACGACGACGACGACGCCAACGTCATACCAATATACGACCACAAAATTTTTTTTGCGGTCGTATAAAAATTACAACAATTATGTTCCTATTAAAGCAGTAAACATGTCAGCTTTTCTTAATAAATTAAATTTTATGACATCTTTGCTAATAAAAATTGTACTACACTGAATTATACTTTACGATCAATTTCTCATATAAGATTTGTAAATTAAGGAAAATCAACTTACATTCCATGTGTTCCCAAAATATTTTGAAACCTGCCATAGTTGGTTTATTTAAGTTTTTACCCTACACAAATATTGCAACTACTCGTAGACCAACAGTTATTTTCTTCTATTTTATTTCTTTTTTTTCTCTTAAATTTCTATTTTTTTATTTTCAATGATCTGTCTAGCAAGATGATGAAGTCCAGAATCTATACTGTAGAACTTTGACTTACCTTCTAGCTCTCCGTAAATATGCTTTAAGATAAGTATCATCCAATTCTACAGCTTTTGTACAGTCATCTATACATTGCTGTGATTTACCAAGCTGTAAAATAAGTTTGAAAGATAATTTAAACATTGACTTTTTCTCATCTACATATTTTCCCAAATCAGTTTTTGATTTTAACTGTGAAAATAGTATAAACAAGGGTAAAACTTAATGCCCCCCCCCTCCGCTACGGTGGGGGCATAAAAAGAAATTTCACTAACTGATCCCTTTCAAATTAGCCCTAATCAATCATTAAACCATAAGACAATCTGGATGATAAAATTCTCATTAAATTTTCATGTAGCAGTTGACTATGCATTTTTATGAGTGCTGCTAAAGACAACACTTAAGTCTAGATATTTCTATGATGTGCAAGTTTTTATCCTCATCCCCCAAGACACACCAGTCAAGATCAAGTATACCAATGAAAGCAATTTTCATTTCATAATTAATTCTTCCCATGAATATCTACAGAATTACAAAATTTAAAATCATAAAGAGCCCTTAGCATACCTCTTAACTTAAAACACTTATCATATTAAGATGAGCCGAGTATTATAACAAACAAAATAAAACCTCATTCTTAAGGTTTAAATAGTAATAAGAAGAGAAAATGTTCCTCACTGATCACAGACAAACTCCTTTAACACAACACAACAAGTTAAAGATTTGTAAGCAGCTGTTTAAGAAAATAAATGAACTTTAACCTACCTTTGCACTACATGTGCCTCTATTACAATATAGTTTCGAATTTGTGAATTTGTTAAACGGATCTATTGCAAGAGCTTCAGAATATAAATCATAAGCTGCCTGTAAATGTCCTGCTCGGAATTCTTTGTTCCCTTCTTCTTTCTTGGCATTTAGTGCTTTTGCTTTCTGAAAGGGAGATCATACAATATATTATGATTAAGAAAGCATACACCATTTTTTATCTGCAATTTATTCCCTTACTTCCCGTAACTGATACCCACAAATTGAGATAACAAACACAATTATTTATCTTAAACGAGGTTTAAAGAGCAATATTGTATAAAAATAAAGAGATGTGGTATAATTTCCAATTGGATAATTATAACAGCCTTCAACAATAAGCAAAACCCATATTGTAGAGCCAGCTTTAAATGACCTGGGCATGACAAAAAGTGACACAATTCAAATTATGCTAAAATAATAAGATTAAAACAAATATGACAGACACCAACCAACGATGACCACTAATATACTGGCTCCTGACTTAGGACAGGCACATTAAGAATGTGGCCTGGTTAAAAATGTTGGTTTCTTTCAATCTAGCAATTGAAGATGCCTAGAAATAATTTGTTGTTGTGATAGAATTATAGTACACTGATCTTAAATAAAATCTTCAACCTGAAATGAGACCAGAAAACATAATCCCCCTACTAATGAAGGCTAGGCATAATAAAAATTTGTGCATGCTGCTACAGTTTTAAACAATATGTATGAATATTTATAACTTTTTCTAATGACGTAATCTTCATTTATATACATACCTTGTAAATTTCTTTTGCTTTACTGTGATCAGGTGCTAGTCTTAAAACTTTTTGAAAATGTTGATATGCTTTGTCTACATTGTCATTATAATATAAACACATTCCTCGTACGTAAATAGCATCTGCATTTAAATTGTCTCTTTGTAACATATCACTGAAAAATTAAAATATTAGCACCAGGGTTAAATCGAGGAGATATTAGTTTAAAAGCTTTCTCAAGAAAAAGAAATTGGCAAAACCATATCTTTTTGGGGTTGACCTTTCTTGTGAGAGGGAAAAAGCATTTTACAATTATTAAGAGGAAACTGTAAAGATATTTTTATTTCCAAAAAAAGGACTACCAACAACTTTCTTTTTAAGAGCCTTCTATGTTAGGCTCTGAAAGACACATTCTTCAATTTTTTTAGGCCTTAACTGGCCACGTGGAGTTAGTAGTATTTTACCAAGGAATCCATATTACGCTTACAAAAAAGAAAAGGTTTTAGCACCTGATATAACTTTGAATGGGAATACAATCTGACAAAACTGCTGATTTTTGTTTGTAGGTATGTTTTTGTTGATACATACAATTGTATATATTGCTTTTAATTTATCTTGTTCATATACTGTCCACAGGATTTTGTTATTGTGGGTTACCCTTTTAAAATAGCTAACTAGGTATCTTCTGCCAGTTTATTGGAAATTGCCCGAGAGTCATTTTCAGAAATGTCTGCTGAAACAGCACTACAAGTATTTGTGTCTATCTAATCAGATCACTGTAGCCAATTTACTTGATTGAATGTGATCATGGTCAATAATATCTTTAATACTATAAGAAATTATGAATTTTTTTGGTTAAAATGAAAACTCATTTATCTGAATCTTGACCATGTCAATAAATATGTCAGGCTAAATTTTTCTACTTAAAGAAATAAGGCCTGGTGATTAAAATCCCAACATACTTAGCTAGTTCCTGTGCTTCCTGGTATCGACCTAACAATGTTAATGCTTCTGCTTTCTTGATTTTAAATCTGTGACATGCTGGACATCTTTCTATACATCGGTCCATACAAAACACAGCCTATAAAATACATATTTAAGAACACTGTATAATCTAACTGGTCTTAAAATTGTCTTTACTATTCAGATGTACATTGCATGGTCAAATTAACAATCTGTATGTTTCCTCCAACAGCTGAAGTTAAAAGATCAACAGGTTTAAAGATATTGCAAGATCATCACCTTAATATAGAAGTTTCCTCTACAACTGTAAAACCATTAGATCTTACTTTGGTTTTTACAAAATATTCAGAAATGTTTGCAGTGCTGTGTTCTATGTAGGATGCAATTTAAACAGCAAAAGTTTGAACTTTCATGTTATATAAGACCTTGTATGGGCATACAATCCTATACATGTATGTTGTAAAAATATGAATGTATACTCTTATGTTAATTTGCAAACACCTGGTATTCATAAATAATCACAGTAAACCCAAGAAAAAAAAATGTATGTACTTATTCATGACATCCTATTAATTTTGCAGTTTTGTCCTATGGTTCAACACATGCATGTAGTAATTTCAATATTTCCAGTAAATTATGCTTCTTTTGAGGTACAATGTACCAACCTATAAACCTGGCACAAAATAGTATCCATAAAAAACTGTGTTTGTCATAATTATTTAGTCAATCCCTGAAAAAGTGGACACTATACAAATAAATATGCTTAAAGTAAAATATCTGAGAAAGACTTAGCTTTATGCTTTATTATTGGTGCAGTGTGTGAAAGTTTAAAAAGTATTTGTTACATCTCATAACTTAATTCTCAATTACTATACAAAGATTAAAATATGATCATTCACCATAACTTACCCTTCTAAAATCTCCTTTCGTAAAATCTGTTTCTGCCATATTTTCATATTCTCTTACTGCACTTGTTGATTTTAACTGCAAAATGTAAAAAGATAATAAAGATAATGCTATTAGAGATAATCTTTTATTAAGTTAATGGACTAAATTTTGTCAATGTTGATATAAGATTTCAATAAGAATAAAAGGAAATGTGGAGTCACTATATAAATAACACATATCTGCTCTACCACCCTCTCAGATTATGTGTTATTTTATTTATTATACTGAATGTTCTGTTATTACTGTCTATTAAATTTCATATTCAAAGTAATAAACTATGTCGTCTTGTACATAACAATCATCCATATTTATTAAAGCACCACTTGAGCAAGCGTATTTGCCATGGGATAGAGTAAATTGTCTCCCTCGTATTAACCAATCAAAATCTGGCATTTTGACATGAAGTATAATAAATTGGATTATACATCAATGGTTCAGCAAGCAAAAGAATCAAATCACCAAAAGACATCTATAATAGATAAAATACAAAATTTCCTACTCTTTATCCATGCTATATACTATCATCTTGATGTAAATTTTAACTGTGTCAGTAGTACATGAATTTTCAAAAGTTTGTCAAAACTTCAGATCTACCAAAAGGTATGTAGGCATTTATACAAGAAAGACAGAATGAGCACAATTCTCATGAAAGTTTTTTATTTCAAGGGTCGTAATTTCGCCAAAAGTATGTCAACCAGAAAGAAACACTGACTTGATCTGTAAGTTTATCATGTTATACTCTAATCAATATCTGCAAGCATAATAGGTATCAGCCAGACAATTTTGAATTTCTACCAAAAGTTAGTCAACCAAAACAAATGCAATGTGAACTGGACCTACAAGTCATCATTTTACCATTGCGTACAAAAATCAAATCAATATCTACAGGCATAACGAAAAAAAATCCAGACAATTTTTTTATTATTAAAACATAATGTTGCACATGGTTAACACCTTCATCAAAGGTACCAGTCATAGTGTTCAAAATATTTGGTAAATTCATTACCATTTAATATGTGTTTTCATAGAAATAAATGATCAAATTTTCAGTTTAGCTACAATTCTTCACTTCATACATAATTAAACCTTGTACTAGATATATCAATTTCTTTTCTCATATTCTATAATTACATGTGTAGATGAGGTAATTTCAAAACACATTTCCAATATTTTCATCAACAACAACAAAATTGGCAGCAGGTACCCATACCCGATGCTATACATTGATCACATATCAGTCATGTTGCATGATGCTATACATTGACCAGATGCTGGTCATGTCACAAACTTACATCTTCCTGTGCAGTTTTATTCCCTGTTTCTAAATCTAAAACTTTTTTGTAACATCTTTCTGCAGCCATAGTATCGCCCAGGGCTAAATGACATTTTCCTTCCCTCATATATCCCTGTAAAAAGAAAACAGATGTAACTTTTAAAAGACTAATGACCACTTTACAAAGGATCTATTATATGTTGTAAAAGTGTATGATGTATTTAGTAGAATTTCTTAGATCTAATGTGTTGTAAGGAACTTTGTAAACTATGTACATTGTAATGTGATAGAACTTTCTATCTGTATATTACATTTGCTCCAACAGATACAAAATATTTACTTGTCAGACTGATTATGCATGAAATATTCATGGCCAATGCCATTGTACAATGTATATTAAGCAAGCAAAAATCAATCAATCATACTAAAATCGAGTTTGCAAATCTTTCAGTAAAAGCTGGCATGAAAGAGTATTGGTTATTCTGTTCATCCTTGTGGTGTTGATACGCACAAATGTTATGTGTACTTGGCTTCTTAAAATTTAAGTCTTCAGCAAAGCTACTCTAGAATCATAAACTGTACATACTAAAAACAGGTGATTTAAATATTTCATAACTAGTACGAAAATTATAGTTATATTTTGTTTTATGTCTTGCTATTTAGAGTTGAAGTAATATGATAATATCTTTAATACCATATTTAAAACTGTACATGTGTGTAATCCTGCTTGATTGTTTTCTGTCTTTATGTCAAAAATAAACAAATTACAAACAAAAAAAAAACAGCATCAAAGAATTGTTTTACAGGTACTGTAACCACTGGTATATAATGTATGAGTTATTACCTTAACCAATGCCTCATCTAATTCGACCGGCTACTGTGAATTCACTTACTTTCGCCAGTACCAATTTTCGTGGATTAAGGGCAAATTGTATTTTTCGTGGATATTTGATTTTGTGGTTTTGTCAAAGTGTGCATGCAAGCCTATAGAATATTTGTACTTTGTTGGACATTTAAATTTGTCCTTCACCTTTACCCACTAAAATCTGTATCCATCCCATAATAATGAATCAATAGTATTATGTATGAGTTACCTTAACAAATGCATCGTCTAATTTGACAGACTGTCGTGCATCTTCCAAAGCATCTTTGTATTTACTTAACATCATATATGTAGCTGCTCTGTTTCCATAGTAAGCTGCAAACTTTGGACATAGATCTGAAAATCATAAATTAGTGAATAAAATGTAACTGTGATGAATGCATTTCAGTCACTCGTGTGAATGCAATATAATAGAGCTGAATTGATACATCTAACAATATGTATCAAGTCTTTATAGAAATGTCACCATCATGATAGTTGGGTTTAATTCTCCAAGGGTAATCTGTATCCAAGGCCAATCAGTTTTATTTCAGTAAATATCTCCTACTTTGTCTAGAGAGCTATACAAGGCCATCCTTGAGAAATTCATTGTTGATGTTGCCTACCTCTGCCTTGTGTGGTTGGGAAGATAGGTAAGGATTTTTTTTTTTTGCCAACAATATAAGTTACATGTTTAAGACAAGATAACGACGTGAGAGCAGGAAAAAATCTTCAAAAAAAATTTTGAAACGATTTGTATCATGAAATTTTCCAGGTAGGCTTCTTTTTAGGTGGGTAGGTAGGCAACATCAAACAATCTAAAATTTATTTTTGGCCAAATGTATATTCTTTGTGGATTAATAAATTAACAAGAAACATGAGAAACAGATGTGTAGGACATCTAAATAAAGTACCAACTGACAATGTTTTTCTCCAGTTATCTTACATGTCTACTGAAGACAGAAAAAACATAAAATACATGTACATCACTGAAATCTAAAAACTGAACAGTCTATATAGTGATTTGTTTGCCTGCAAGTCAGTCTAATGCTTGTATATTTAAAAACACTTTAAATAATTGCAATGTGAATTAACACCTTTTGTTTTATGAAATTCAATCAAATTGTTTCGTTGTATCAAATAATTCTGTGTCTTTTTGCATCTATCCTAATTTTCAAATTCCATCCCATCCTTTTGTTTGTGCATACAAAATATCAGAACACTCTTCCTTCCTTTCTCAAATGATTGATACAAAAGATAAGCATGTTAAAGTACAATAATACATACTTATTGCATCTGAGTAACATGACAAGGCTTGTTGGTATAATTTCTGTTTATAGTATGTATTCCCTTCTTCCTTTTTGTTTTCTGCCAGGGTCTCTGGATCTGGTTCTGGTATGTCTGGTTCGATACTGAAAAAAAAAATACAAAATTAGAATTTGTCAAGAATTTGAAATTTGTCATATTCAAGTTACATGTATCATGTGTATCTTGCATTCTATCAAGATCTATGAAACAGCTCTGAAAAAAAACCTGAATACAAATATAATGTACTTAATATGAACATGAAGTATTATAAATCTAAATTTCTGGTGTTTGTAGATGTTTTTTTTTTTTTTATTTCTGTTGAAATTTGTAAAAGTGAACTGTATGTAAAAACCAAAGGTGTTTTCTTTTTCAATTTGCCATAATCTACAGAGAAAATTAAAAAAAAAATGAATGATTTACTGTTTTTACCAGGCCTTATAATCATGACAGACACAAATTTTTAAAACGTTTGCTTTATATTATCTAGAAATTCGAGTACATCAAATTTTACCGAGTTCGGTGCGAAACTTTATTTAGTACATTACGTACTCTCCAAAAGTGAAGGATCTTGGAAAATCTAGGAAACCATTTTTAATAAAATGCTCCGCTGGGGCGCAGCTTGATACGACCGCAGAGGTCGAACCCTGAACAGTTGGGACAAGTATGGACACAACATTCAAGCTTGATACAGCACTGAATTTGGATTGTAATTAAATATTTGACACAGCATAGGTTTCTCACACAGAATGAAAGTGGCCTAAGAACTTAAAAATTTTTAATTTACCTATTCAAACCATATCGTTATTATTTGCTTTTATATATACATCAGAAATAACCAATTTAAAATGGAAAATTTTAAAGAAAAAAACATACATGTGATGGACTGTGAAACTCAGATCAGGAGATTGGAAAATTTTGGTCAGGAGATTAGGACTCAGATCAGGAGGTTTTTAATCGACATAAAGTTTGTCGTAAATGTAACCGTGTGCTGTAAAAATTGTCTTTTAAAGTGTGTTTTCTTCAACTTTCAATCCGAATGTATTATGTATTATGTTTATAGTACCCTTGTACTTATAAAGTTTCTTTATCTTAATATTCTACATGTTCAATCTAAGATTCTTTTTTTTTAGTATGTTCTTTAAATTTTTCAATTCATATCTTTTATATCATTATTCTATAGGACAAACAATGCAATCGGATCATTTGTTTACCTATCTGCATTTGCAGTTAGATTTTATTTGAATAATCAGAACCTCATTTAAATTTGGAACATGGGTCATAGTTATTATATGAATTCAATTTAAGCCTTGAAAGAAAGTATAGAACCCTCAAATAATTTTCAAATTATTATTTTTTGATTTGTCCTAAGACATTTAAAATCATTTAATTACCATCCTTTTATGATTATTTGTTCAATTTATATTTTATTTATATTCTTTTAAAAATTTACATTATTTAAAGGAAAGTAACTTAAAACAGGATAAATCAGGGGAAGTAACCCAATAAATACACAAAGTTTTTATTATACAACGGCAGTTAGCCTGAGGTAAAAATCGTTGATTACCAGTATGTTTGACACCCAAGCTGACAAGTGAAGCCATATAATTATGCATGTTAATTGATTTACAGGTAAAATATAACTTCAGGTGATGTCAGTTACACCAGATGTCTGAGATGATGTGTTGGGCAGATTTCATACACAGGATTTTTTTCTATTCAACGCGAGGTCGGGAGGAGACCCCTGAAAACGGGATTATTGTACTCCCGTCGGGAGGTTTACATGTATGAAAAAAAGAAAAAAAAATCCCCCAAATTTTTTTGAACCCCCTTATGATTCATCACCCCATTGGCCCAAACTCAATCCCAGCTTTCCCTTTGTGGTATGGTACCTTGCAGTACAATTTCATAAAGATCCATACACTTACACACAAGTTATTGTCCTGAAACTAGAAAAATGCTTGTTTTTTGCCCTTTTATGGCCCCTAATTACTAAAATTTTGAGGGAATTACCCCCAAAATCAATCCCAGCCTTCCCTTTGAGGTATGGTACCTTGCAGTACAATTTCAGAGAGATCCATACATTTGAACACAAGTTATTGTCTGGAAACTAGAAAAATGCTTATTTTTGGCCCCTTTTTGGCCCCTTATTCCTAAACTTTTTGGGCAATTACCACCAAACTCAATTCCAGCTTTCCCTTTGTGATATGGAACCTTGTAGTATAATTTCATAAAGATCCATACACTTACACACAAGTTATTGTCATGAAACTAGAAAAATGCTTGTTTTTCGCCCCTTTTTGGCCCCTAATTCCTAAAATATGGAGGCAATTACCCCCAAAATCAATCCCAGCATTCCCTTTGTGATATGGAACCTTGTGATACAATGTCAGAGAGATCCATACACTTACACACAAGTTATTGTCATGAAACTAGAAAAATGCTTGTTTTTTGCCCCTTTTTGGCCCCTTATTCCTAAAATTTGGAGGCAATTACCCCCAAAATCAATCCCAGCATTCCCTTTGTGATATGGAACCCGGTGGTACAATGTCAGAGAGATCCATACACTTACACACAAGTTATGTCTGGAAGTTACAAAAATGCTTATTTTTGGCCCCTTTTTGGCCCCTAATTCCTTAACTGTGGGTACCATAACCCCCAAAATCAATCCCCACCTTCCTTTTGTGGTATTGAACCTTATGGTGAAATTTCATTGAGATTCATTCACTTAAACTAAAGTTAGAGTGCGAAAACTAATGTGTATTCGGACGACGACGCTGGACGACGACGACGACGACGACGACGACGCCAACGTCATACCAATATACGACCACAAAAATTTTTTTGCGGTCGTATAAAAAGCAGGAGATTATTGATATCCCGGATGGAACTAAATTTATCATTACTTTTGGATATTTCTAGTCTTGAGAAGGAAATTCTCTCTCAAAGTCCAACCCAAACTAGAGGCTCTAAAGAGCCTGTGTCGCTCACCTTGGTCTATGTGCATATTAAACAAAGGACACAGATGGATTCATGACAAAATTGTGTTTTGGTGATGGTGATGTGTTTTGGTGATGGTGATGTGTTTGTAGATCTTACTTTACTGAACATTCTTGCTCCTTACTATTATCTCTATCTATAATGAACTTGGCCCGGTAGTTACAGTGGAAAATACTTTGTAAAAATTTACAAAAATTTACAAAATTTATGAAAATTGTAAAAAATTGACTATAAAGGGCAATAACTCCTTAAGGGGTCAATTGACAATTTTGGTCATGTTGCCTTATTTGTAGATCTAACTTTGCTGTACATTATTGCTGTTTACAGTTTATCTCTATCTATAATAATATTCAAGATAATAACCGAAAGCTGCAAAATTTTCTTAAAATTACCAATTCAGGGGCAGCAACCCAACAATGTGTTGCCTGATTGGTCTGAAAATTTCAGGGCAGATAGATCTTGACCTAATGAACAATTTTACCCCCATGTCAGATTTGCTCTAAATGCTTTGGTTTCAGAGATATGAGCCGAAAACTGCATTTTACCCTATGTACTATTTTTTAGTCATGTCGGCCATCTTGGTTCGCGGGCAGGGTCATCGGACACATTTTTTAAACAAGATACCCTAATGATGATTGTGGACAAGTTTGGTTAAATTAGTCTTAGTAGTTTCAGAGGAGAAGATTTTTGTAAAAGATTACAAAAATTTACGAAAAATTGTTAAAAATTGACTATAAAGGGCAATAACTCCTTAAGGGGTCAACTGACCATTTTGGTCAAGTTGACTTATTTGTAGATCTTACTTTGCTGAACATTATTGCTGTTTACAGTTTATCTGTATCTATAATAATATTCAAGATAACCAAAAGCTGCAAAATTTTCTTAAAATAACCAATTCAGGGGCAGCAACCCAACAATGTGTTGCCTGATTGGTCTGAAAATTTCAGGGCAGATAGATCTTGACCTAATGAACAATTTTACCCCCATGTCAGATTTGCTCTAAATGCTTTGGTTTCAGAGATATGAGCCAAAAACTGCATTTTACCCTATGTATTATTTTTTAGCCATGTCGGCCATCTTGGTTCGCGGGCGGGGTCATCGGACACATTTTTTAAACAAGATACCCTAATGATGATTGTGGACAAGTTTGGTTAAATTTGTCTTAGTAGTTTCAGAGGAGAAGATTTTTGTAAAAGATTACAAAAATTTACGAAAAATGGTTAAAAATTGACTATAAAGGGCAATAACTCCTTAAGGGGTCAACTGACCATTTTGGTCAAGTTGACTTATTTGTAGATCTTACTTTGCTGAACATTATTGCTGTTTACAGTTTATCTCTATCTATAATAATATTCAAGATAATAACCAAAAGCTGCAAAATTTTCTTAAAATTACCAATTCAGGGGCAGCAACCCAACAATGTGTTGCCTGATTGGTCTGAAAATTTCAGGGCAGATAGATCTTGACCTGATAAACAATTTTACCCCATGTCAGATTTGCTCTAAATGCTTTGGTTTCAGAGATATAAGCCAAAATCTACATTTTACCCCTATGTTCTATTTTTAGCCATGGCGGCCATCTTGGTTGGTTGGCGGGGTCATCGGACACATTTTTTAAACTAGATACCCCAATGATGATTGTGGCCAAGTTTGGTCAAATTTGGCCCAGTAGTTTCAGAGGAGAAGATTTTTGTAAAAGTTTACGGCGACGGGCGACAGACGCAGGACGACGGACGCAAAGTGATGAGAAAAGCTCACTTGACCTTTCAGGTCAGGTGAGCTAAAAATGGCTTAAGAGTTATGAAGTCGTAGGGAAACTACATAGCAAAGAAGTAAAATAGCCTTTCAAGACGTCATCATTATTTGGACTAGCAAAAACGCAGCATAAATACACCTTATCACTATTTCGGTCCAATCCAGAAAAAACAGTCACTTAGACAACTTCCTGTTTGGGTCAAGCGCTTCAAAAACAAAGGTCATCAGTTATGAGCTAAAGGAGGAAAACGTAAAGAAAGTGAACATTTTGAAATTTTCATAGTTTATGATGCAATTTTTTAAACACATATTAAAGTAATAGAAATTCTTTGCTTGAATTGTTTACAATGGTTTAAACATCTCTCTTTGAAAAGTTTTATGCAAGCACATTGTTTCTACAGGGCCCCAGATAGCTTCAACTGGTTTGAAAGCGTTGTGTAATTTCAGAACTGGTAAGGAATGGAAGAAATAAAATTTAAGGTGTATTGCAATCCTTAAAAATCTTCTTGTGCACTAAAACAACCATCAGGATTTTCAAAGTTTGTCGGTCTGCATCATGAACTTATTCTTATCTTTTTTAAATGGACCATGCTTTGGAAGAGAAAACGTTCAAACATCTTTTAGGCAAATTCACACGCAATACTACATGGATACATGTCATACAATAGACCTTATCGCTATATGGAAATCTGCGCTGCTTGACCAGAGAATCTATGCCTCTTAAACTTTTGACGTCATACAACAATCACTTTTCCATTGTGGCGTCAGATATTTTCTACTATGATGACAAAATTTTACAGGAACTTTTGTGATGTCCAGTAATGGCAGACAAATAGCGATAAGGTGTATTACTATTATAAAATTATAAAATGAAGCTATTTGTAACCAAAATCAATAAGAATAATAAAAAAAAATAAACATTTATCTAAATTGACAATTTGATTAACTCAATTATTTACAAATTTACAAAAATATCCTAATATGATTATTTTCCCCAACACCAACTAGTTCATCAACCTCCCCCTTTTTACGGGGTAGTCTAAAAATAAATTATAGATTTCCAGAAAGTTCTATTTGGGGATTCCCGGTGTTCCATGACGTCATTTGCTTCTGGAAAAGCGAAGCAAGTTCTATCATTCTTGCATTTATCAAACATTTTCGAATGAGATACTTTGCAAATGCTAACTATGAGAACACACAATTGGCTAAAATATACTTTTCATGGTAAAACAGGAATAAATATACCCAATTCAGTATAAACGAAAGGGCTTTTTCGGAAAACACGTTCTGACATTTTGGGGAACACCGTCAAAATATCTAAGATTAGACAAGTTAAGGACAACATAATTGGAAGAATCAAATTAATAATCATTTTTCGACATTTTTTTAGACTATCTTGCATACCTTTCTTCTGTTAAATCAACTACTTCGTCTTCAGTTGGTTGAGGGTCAACTTCCATCGTATCCACGTCCGTCATGATTGTTGTTGGTCTCGTGAGATTTGTGAACAAACTGGTACTTTTAATTTGTATGTATCAGGTAGCAAGAAATGTTGATATAATACAGGCAACAAGCTTCTGTGACTACGTCAGTTAAGTGCTTTTTAACAGGAGAGGTATAATAGGTCTATAATAATCTAAATTTACAGCGAGGAAAAAAAATGCAGCGAAAACGTAAATTTTATGATAACGATACTTACAAAGAAAAACAAGAAGATGAAGATAAATTGAAACGCGCAGTTAAGGATGGAGACGAAACAGCTGTGCGAAGACTAGTGAAGGGAGGTGTTCTTGCTATTCGGCAGCAAAAACTCTGGGTAACTCTCCTTCTGAGTTCTTCGGTATCGGGTCCGTTCGCGCCCAATACACGTTCGCACCCTACACGTTCGCACCCCACACGTTCGCCCCCTAGGTCCGTTCGCACCCTTTTTTTATTCAAAAACCTGATAAATTTTTAGATGTTTTGTAGATGTTATATCAAAATATTTTTATTTTCATAAATAAAAATTCGGGAATTTTTAAATGAAATATAGTTTTAAATTGATTTGATGATTAATTATTAAATGTTAATTATGTATGATTACTGCTAATTGGTATTTATTTACAGCCTAATTTGGTATTATTGTGGAGTGTTTGAAAATCATGATTGTTGTCATAGTTGTTTTAACTTGTGTTGATGTAAATACTGCATGTATTTAGCTTGGTATGAGTAAAACTTTGAAGATTTTAAATAAAAAACATGAAAGATTTTTATGGGGGCTAGGATGAACATGAAATATAGTTTTAAATTGATTTGATGATTAATTATTAAATGTTAATTATGTATGATTACTGCTAATTGGTATTTATTTACAGCCTAATTTGGTATTATTGTGGAGTGTTTGAAAATCATGATTGTTGTCATAGTTGTTTTAACTTGCGTTGATGTAAATACTGCATGTCGATCCGGCCCCACGTCGATCCGGCCCAAGTCGATCCGTCCCACGTCGATCCGGCCCAACGTCGATCCGGCCCATATTTAAAGTCGATCCGGCCCAATAAAAAATTATATTTATGAGGATTAAAAATAAAGATATATATTAATTGTAATTCATAAATGTTTATGAATTTTATTATAATGTAAAAGGTGTACGGTAAAAAAAATTGGCCTTTGACAAATATTTTCTTTAAAAGAGTTTAAAACAACTATGTTGATTATGTTTTCATTACAAGTTTTCAAGATTATTGGGTATAATTATAATCAACATTAATCAGCAGTAATTAGCATTTTCTTTCAATTGACTGTGATCCTTTGTAATAACAAATAGTTACATACACAACGGTACAAGCCGATCCCCAAGCTGATACATACAAACTTTGTTTTTTGTTTTAAGTTCTTAAAAGAAATGTTTGATTTGCCGAATCCTTTCTATAAATATGAAAAAAAGTATATAGTTTTGTTTTAAATCTGGGAATATTAACTTCCGTGTTTTTCAGGTGTTAAATGGCAAAAAGCTTATAAATTCTATTTTTTTGTATTATATATTTGTATTTTACAAGTTATAAAGATAGATATTTACTTTTTTTAAATTCCTTTATAGGAGTATCTCTACTGGAATACAGACGCATGGTAAATGAAGAAATAGATGTGATCTTCACGTGCATCGAGTGTAATTATTTTGTTATTATCTTACAATAAAGAATAATGGATACTCATATAACTTGTTTTTTTTATCTACACACAACTATTCAAAATATTGTCAACTTAAAAAAAATATATTGACTATATTCAATATTACAACAAAAAAAAACGTTTTATAGAAGCCTCTTATGTTACCTGAAAAAAAATACAATTAATTGTTATAACACATAACACCAAACAAAAGATCAAACTATAAAGACCAGTGATTACGTAACTTTAATCAATCAGGATTTGATTGAATTAAGTGATCACGAGTGACATTAACTTAGTTCACAATCATTAGACAATTGTTGAATAAACAAACCAATTATAGACTAATGATTTGATAAAACAAGTCAATATGATGAGTTAAATTTTATAGGTTCCATTGGACTGTAAATATTTATTAAGCTTTTCTGTGTGTGAATTAAATAAAATAAAAATCGCCATGACGTTCAAAGTTATCATGGAAAATAACTTCATATTAATATGTTGACGCTGCTATATAAACAGACACAATCACACTCATTTTCGTATCGATTTAAAATAATTCTTTGACTGGTACTCCAATACTTCACTTACCTGTTGTCATCCATCATTTTTACAAATTCCATTTAAATAAATACTGTTAAAATTTGTTACAAAATCCTCCAAGGTCAATATAGTTTATTCATATTTTATTATGGGGCCGGATCGACGTAGGGACGGATCGACGTGGGCCGGATCGACTTGGGACGGATCGACTTTGGGCCGGATCGACTTGGGGCCGGATCGGTTTGGGGACGGAACGACCGGATACCTATTTAGCTTGGTATGAGTAAAACTTTGAAGATTTTAAATAAAAAACATGAAAGATAATTGTTTTTAACTGCTTGGCTCCTTTGATCTCATGTGTGTCAGAATCTCACTTTATTCATAAACAATGAAAAAAACTATTTATAGCAATACACTATCCAAACATGATTAAAAATTATTCAACACAAAAATAAAATACTGGTCGTCAGAATCTCACTTTATTTAAAAACAATGAAAAAAAATGTTTATAGCAATATATTTACCATGACACAAAAAAAACCTTGTCAGAATCTCACTTTATTTAGAAACAATGAAAAAATATATATTTATAGCAATACACTTACCAAAACTTGTTTACAAATTATTAAAAACAAAACCAATAAAAAATGGGCGCGAACGTGTAGGGTGCGAACGGACTTTGGGTGCGAACGTGTAGGGTGCGAAAGTGAAAGGGGGGCGAACGTGCATGGGGGCGAACGTGATTGGGCGCGAACGGACCCGGATTCGAGTTCTTCTGTCTGTAATTTGAAGCAAATTGTTACCTGTGACATAACATAATTTACACCTATATAAAAAAAACAATAAAAAAGTCAGCTTATTACCGAACTTTGTGTTTCCCCAGAGAAGTCATCTTGTTTGCTAATATGAGGCAGGCATTACCTGTGAAAGGGGACGAAGTCTATATAAATTATTTTTTTTTAATTCAAACATATTTTAAGTTCTAAATCTGTTAAAAAAGAAACGGAAATACCGTTGTTAGGGATTTAAGTTGTGACGTTATTTTAGTTATGACGTCATATTCAATGTAAACAAAGAAACGCTATCATCAGGTAACGTTTTTTCATATCAAAGAATAATTAGAAATGAAATTATTGTGTTCCTTCCTATATTTTACTGGACTGATAAATATATATTTCACTCAAAGTCTCATGACAAACAAGACTGGAAGAAGGAAGTAGATTTCTGCGCAAATGCAGGAATTAAAAAAAGTGAAACATGTCATTGTGAAGATTTGCCATTATTGTTGTTATTTAATTTTTTATCCCATACTGTATCATTTTTTTTCTTCTCTTAAATACTATTAATATTTTTTTTAAGCACCACATATAAATAAACAATAGAGTTAATACAAGGGAGATAACAACACATATGAGAAAAAGCGCAGTAGAGATTACACTGTCATAAAGACATAGATTAGAAGACCATACTCAAATAATGGATGTGGAAATTTGCATTTTTTGTAGGTTAACTCGAAAAAGAATAGAGCAGTTAGTATATGACTTTGATTTGATTCTAAACTGCAAATATTTAATTGCTATGTTTCTCAAAAATTGCCAAGTTGAATTTCAAGAATAATAAACCACTAGCTGTCATTCCAGTGAATGTTATGTTCAATAGCTAGAAATTAAGTTCGGTTATAGTAATTGAGGGCATGGTTCACCTGTCTCAACCTGAGACTCACATGTCTTAGTCGGATTTTATTAAAAAGAAATTTCCTTAAAAAATCTAGCGAAATTGTTTTTTTTAATATGTGTCAATCATAGAACAACAGTTACTGTACATATGTAGATTGTCCCACATTTATTTGATATACCGGTATAAAATTTGTTAACGTTTGATAAATGAAGGTATATTTCACTACTTATAGTTTGTTCTAAAGAGTATTTAATTGTAAACCATGTATTATAAATTATTTCTAATAAGGGCTGAATCAGCTTGAAATATGGGCCAGAAGAAATTGGACCAGATCTACATAAAACCTCTGGAATCTGTGCCCATTAACTCTGTTCCTGTTTTCCTGTTTTATAGCTTCACCCAAGAAAATTGTATATTTTAAATGTTTTTTGGTGCTTTAGTTTTAAGTAAATCTTTGGACCCCTGTTTTCCCTTATATAAAATACTTGGAGATACTTGGAATTGTAAACGGCCCTCTGATAAAATGCATAACAATTCAAACGAGTATATCAATGGCCTGATTTATGAACGAAACAAACTAAAAACAAATAAGATATATACATGCAAAAAACGACAACCACTGACTTGGGTCAGGCACATACAGAATCAGGGTTCTCACTAAGGATTTTTGAAGGCGAGTCCAGGGACTCATTATTTTTGGCCATGGTGAGTCCAACAGTAAGAAAAAGATAATTTATTGCAATATAATTTATTATTTAGTCCATATGACCTAATAGAGCAATGAAATGACATTAAATTCAGATTACTTTTAAACTTTGCTATAAAATGATGGTATGTATGTTCAGTTTATACAAAATATTTCAATCTTGATGCATCTTTGTACTCACCAGTTTTGAAAATGTTGAGTCCTGACAGATTTTCGTGAGTCCAGGACTCATGGACTCGCCTTAGTGAGAACCCTGCAGAATGTGTTGGGGTTACAATTTTTAATATAAAAATAGATGTGGTATGATTGCCAATGAGACTTTCAACCAGAGACATAATGATGTACATGTAAAAGTTAGCAACTATAGGTCATCATATAGCTTTCAAAAATGAGCAAAACCCATGCAGCATACATGTAGCAAGCTATAAAGTCCCTGACATAACAAATGTTTTATTCAAACAAGAAAAATATTGGCCTGATTGATGTAAAAAACAGTAAACAAAAACAAATATGGTATACAGCAACAAACGACAACCACTGCATTACAGGCTCCTTATTTGCGACAGGCACGTATAGAATAGGGAAGGGTTAATGTTGAAGTTGTTCAATACTTGAAAATTAACCAAATGTTTATTAAGTCATGTTTTTTTTTAGTTTTGTATGTTCAGATAAAGTAGCTTACTTTTTGTCTTATAAAAATAAGAAGATGTGGTATGATTGCCAATGAGACAACTCTCCACAAGAGACCAAATGACACAGAAATTAACAACTATAGGTCACCGTACTCCTGACTTGGGACAAGCACATACAGAATGTGGTGGTTGCATTATATCTTCATGTGCAAGACATAGTGAATCTAACTTCCATTGTTATCAGCATTGTCAACCTTTTAGGTTCAGTCTGTGGTTAAAGTTTCATTCAGACATTAATAACATTCAAAAACCTTTATAAAAATTTTCAAAACTATTAAACTATAACTATGTAATTGTAGTTTTATGATAAATAAAGTATTTGTATCGACAGATGCTTCTTCATGGTCAAGAAAAAAGAAAATTATATTTTTTTTTACTTTCAGTGATTTACAGATAAATAGGCTTAGTTGTGCTGGAGTTAACATTTAGATACAGACCAGAGTTAAACATAATGCTTTTAAATTGTCATTAACCTTTACAAACCTTCATGAAATTTCAGGAGTATTGTGCAGAAGCTTTTTAACCTTCTAGAGAAAAAATTCTCTAAATTTTCCCTTATTTTAACCAAAAATGGACATAGTTTATTTTGAAGTCAACATTTAGTTACTGAGTGTGGTTAAAGAATTTATAACTCGGATAACATTGTACAAAACTTTGACAGAAACTTCTTCATCTGACAAAAATTGATATTTTTCTGTTTTTTATTTTCCTCAGACCTGATATATTGACTTAGTTTTTGGCAGTCATATTACATTTTGGCACTTACAGCAACAAGAAGCCTACACACATTTCATTTCTTGTTAATGTGTTATTGTTATACATACATGTATAATTTTTGTAATTTTAGTTTGGTGGAACTATTTTACATGATGCAGTAGCTGGTGGTAAATTGCCTATTATAAAATTACTCCTACAAGCAAAAGCTGATGTGAATGCTAAAACTAAAGATAACAGAACATGTTTACATGTAGCATCAAGAATGGGCCATACTGGGAATACAGATATTGTAAAAGAATTGCTCAATTATGGAGCAAAAGTTAATGTACAGACTTTGGTAAGGACTGTAATAGATAAAATAAAAAGGATCCTTTCAAAGTTATGGTGTACTTTTTCAGTAAACTTATAAATGTTGAGATGGATAGTACACAGATTTGAAGTCTTTGTAGGCATCTTGATTGGTGGAAATCTATTTAGGCTGGACTTAATCCCATTCAAACAATTTAACCACAATAACAGTCAATCTAGATGTATTTTGTAAAATGTCATTTTGATTTTCCAAATTTAGGATACATTCTTGTTATTCAATACCAAATTTTTCATGTAGCCAGCCTTTGTTGTAATTGCATATTCACAATTAATGTGATTGGTACCTAAAAAAGACTTTTATGGAATATAACTTGTCTGCTTTACTTGAGTGAGATTATAAGTGCACGATATTAAATGCAGAATACTGAAAATAACTCTGTGTAAGCTTGATGCATCTAGAGTTCTTGATTTACCTTCTTCAGGATCAATCAAACCCAATAAATTTGAAAGCAATGAATATATAGAAAACTTCAGGAGCTATAGGATCAAAAGGAATAGCGTAATAAACCTAAAGTCAGCTTTGTCTGAGGGACTATGAACATGATGAACTTTATGTTTTTGATAATTTCAAAATTACCGGTAATAAATGAAAAATTTAAGAAAAGTTTGAATGTTACAAATAATGTCTGTGCTGACGCAAGGACTACTGAGCTGATGACCCTTCACCCATTGGGGATTAGCAGCAGTTATCACCCCAGTGCTAGAAAAATTATGGAAATAACACTTTATAAATTTGGTGTGTCGAAAGGGATTTTCTTGATTTTCCTTCATGCAGATGGATCGACTATAGAATATTATATAAATAACACATAGCTGAGAGGGTGATAGAGCAGATTGTTACCCCGAGAAAACATTGTCAACTGAGGCGAAATCTGGCATTTTGACATGAAGTATAATAAAATATATTCTAATATTTAAGGAACTATATTACCAAAAGGGATGTTAAAACAATAGCAAGATCCACCAATGATGAGATGTATCAACTAAGAATTTAAGAAAAGTAGGAATGTTACAAATCATGTCAGTGCCAAAGCAGTGACTACTGAGAGCTGATGATAGTCAAATACACTGGGGGACAAGAAGTCTACCAGCAGCTGTATCAACCAAATAACAAATACCCTGGGGGACAAGAAGTCTACCAGCAGCTGTATCAACCAAATAACAAATACCCTGGGGGACAAGGAGTCTACCAACAGCTGTATCAACCAAATAAGCTCTTATCATCATCAATAAAATATTCCAAAGTTACAGTTTCGATGTGTGAAATATTGCCTTTTGAGATACAAATGAAACAAACTTTAAATAATTCTTGGATTTTTTCAGGATCGAAGAACAGCCTTACATTTTGCTACATGGCGAGGCAACACAGATATTGTTCAGCAGTTAGTCAATAATGGAGCCAATGTTAACTTACAAGATGAGGTAAAATGTAACAGAAATCATTTTGCTAGAAAAAGCCTCTTTGAAACATATTGTAATACCAGTAATACTACTCATGGAGTTTCAATATGAACATTTATGCATAGTCAAACCTTTAGGCCAAAAATAGAATATAGAATGTTTGATGTTGCTTACCTACCCACCTTAAAAAGCAGCCCACCCGTAAAATTGATGACACAAATCATTCCAATTTTTTTTTTCCCTGTTCTAACGTCGTTTTCTTGTCTAAAACATGTAACTTATGTTGTTGGCTAAACAAAAATTTAAAATCCCCCACCTACCTACCCAACCCTACGAGGCATGGGAAAGCAACATCACACAAAGAATTTCTCAAGGGTGGTCTTAAGTTTAAAATGTTAAATGTGAATTTGGCAATAAACAGTTTAAGGTAAAGATTCCAAAAAATGTTGATAAAAGGATAATCACAGGCTATCTAAGGGTGGTTCTTCTCTGCTCTTGAATCTTTCAATCAGTATGATTTAAAAAAAAAAACTATAATCACATTTTAAACTTTTTGTCATAAGATTAAGATACATTCATTTTTGTACACACTTATATGTTTATGTATTTTAGTATTTGAGATTTATAGTTTTTGTCTCGCCTGCGACGAAAGTCGAGGAAAGCGAGACATAGGGATTGCTTTTCCGGCACAGCTCGGGCTTCATCAATTGTTAGGTTTTCTGCTTAAGTTAGTTTGATAGGAACTACTTGTGATAGATCAATGATATTTTGTATGAAGTCCCCTTACTATCAGTACATATCAGTTTGATGACTATTTTGTGTCCCGTCCCCCTATGACATAGTCCAGTGACTTTGAATTAATTAGAAATTTTTAATGTTAAGTTTTTCTTCTTAAGTTATATATTGATAGGAACCACTTACAATAAACAATGATATTTTCTATAAAGTTACATAACTGTCTGCACATCTCAATTTGTAGACCATTTTCAGGCCCTGATCATGGTCCAGTGACTGAATTAATGAGCAATATTGCTGTCCATCAGATTGTCTATTTCTGAATTTTATGCTGATAGGCGAGACATATCTATGTGTCCACAGTTTATTAAAAATATTCAGTAATATTTAGGTTTGCTATTAAAAAAGCCAGGGGAAATATTCAAGAAAATATGTTTGTAGGGAACATGCTAAATTTATAAGAATACTCACGTAACGGGTAATTTGAGAATTTTTAAATCTGTAAAATCCTTGGAAACTTCTGCACATAAATATATATTTATTTGGCAATCACCAATAGCAGTCAGCAGGGTTTAAGAACATCAGTTGTTCGACCTGCTAGTCAAATGCGTTTTGTTAAAAAATACTTTTTCACTTTTTTGGTCTTTTGGAAAATGTTGTTTGTGCTGTATTTAGACCCCTCTACCAAGAAATTTGTTTTGCATGCACACATATAAAAATTGTGGTTTTTATCCAACGCAGTCATAGGTTTGAACGTTGTTTTCAATTTACCGGTAGACTTGTTTATATTTTTTCATTTGGGCTTGTATTATATTTGCCTTCAGGTTTATATGATCCGTTCATCCTATTTCGACTCTTTCAAAATTCAAGAGTCTATCCTAAATTGAAGTAAATTATATGGCCTTCCAAATACCGTTTCGATTCCTAACATCACTGAAGAGACATTAATTGTAGAAATCCGGATATGGTGTGCAAATTTTTGCACCTCATGTTTGCGGTATACCATCTTTTTCGCAAGTTAATTGTTTTCTGTTTGGTAATAAATTATTATAAGATCCATTTTGTTATATCTGGTGATCCGTTTATTTGGCAGTCACCAATGGCAGTCAGCAGGGTTTAAGAACATCAGTTGTTCGACCTGCTAGTCAAATGCGTTTTGTTAAAATATACTTTTACACTTTTTTGGTCTTTTGGAAAATGTTGTTTGTGCTGTATTTAGACCCCTCTACCAAGAAATTTGTTTTGCATGCACACATATAAAAATTGCAGTTTTTATCCAACGCAATCATAGGTTTGAACGTTGTTTTCAATTTAGACTTGTTTATATATATACAAGTCTAAATTGAAAACAACATTCAAACCTATGATTGCGTTGGATAAAAACCGCAATTTTTATAAGTGTGCATGTAACAAATTTCGTTGTAGAGGGGTCTAAATACAGCACAAACAACATTTTCCAAAAGACCAAAAGAGTGAAAAAATATATTTTAACAAAACGCATTTGACTAAAAGGTTGAACAACTGATGTTCTTAAACCCTGCTGACTGCCATTGACGATTGCCAAATAAATTAATCACAAGGTGTAACAAAATGGTTCTCTATATAAATTTAATACCAAGTAGAAAACAATAAACTTGCAGTAAAGATAGTAAACCACAACATGAGGTGCTAATTTATTTTACACCATATCTGGATTTCGACAATTAATGTCTCTTCAGTGATGTTAAGGATCGAAAAGTATTTGGAAGGCCATTTAATTTACCTTAATTTAGGATAGACTCTTGAATTTTAAAGAGTCAAAATAGGATGAACGGATTATATAAACTGGAGGGAAAATATAATACAAGCCCAAACAAAATAATTATAAACGAGTCTAAATTGAAAACAACGTTCAAACCTATGATTGTGTTGGATAAAAACCACAATTTTTATACGTGTGCATGTAACAAATTTTGTTGTATATATATATGTATTGTAGTTTGTTAAATAATTTATGTAGACAGGTTTTTGTGTGAAATGTAAAGTAGACAACTGGTTCAATTTGATTAATTTTTTTGTCAGGATCTCTGGTCACCTCTGTATTGGGCAGCTAAATTAAATTACATACAGATTGCCAAGATATTGGTTGAAAATGGAGCAAACTTGAACTGTGTCAATGCAGTAAGTATGACGCTTGATTAATTATTCCTATTTTGGAATTTTATCAGAAGACCACGAAATACCAAACAAGTATTGCTTTTGTTGATTAGAAATCCTGAAAATAAGATCTGATTGAATAATGAGTGTAGATCAGTATTTTGTAGGAGTGTAACCTTAATATTTCTTTTAAAAATTTACCCAACAAATGCAGCACTTCAAACTTGCATTAAACTTAAAGATAGTTTAAATTGAGTCCTAACTATGATACAATTACTAATTATGTAAGTATCTTTATGTCTGTTGATCCTAACTATGATACAATTACTGAAGAGGGATTATGTAGGTATCTTTATGTCTGTTGATCCTAACTATGATACAATTACTGAAGAGGGATTATGTAGGTATCTTTATGTCTGTTGATCCTAACTATGATACAATTACTGAAGAGGGATTATGTAGGTATCTTTATGTCTGTTGATCCTAACTATGATACAATTACTGAAGAGGGATTATGTAGGTATCTTTATGTCTGTTGATTTGTTTATTTGTTTACTTCTCAGGCATCATTTTGTATGTGTTACTCCTAATAAACAATTAGACTTCCCGTAGATGCTAATTTGGCCTTTGATGAAAATCTTTCTTATTTCTAATTTAAGAATCAACAAATCCTGCTTCCAGGCTACAAAAAGCAAAACTTATTACACAAGAAAACACAAAAGCCATAACTAATTAGGTGTTGAAAAGGGGGGAAGGGGTAAATGTATTTTATAACATATCAGATACAAAAAGGTACAGATTGCAAAAAGAACAATCAGGTTTATGATAGCAAAATAATTTCCTCCGGACTTCATTTGGTTTCTTTTTGGTTGGATTTGGGTCTTAAAAAAAAGTGTACCTATTTTTTCAGAGTTACAAATCTCATATATCTAAGAAAGTTATTCCTTTAATATCAATGGACCAAGTTTTTTTCCTATCCTATAAAATAAGTGGGATAATTAGATTAAACCCTGTATTAAACAGTCCTATTTAATGTGTTTTGTTTCAAAATTTTTAACTTTGATGACTAAATTACTAGAGAACATTGTAGTAATACAGAAAAAAATATATTTTTCTATTCCAAAAAAAGTATTGCTCTTATTTTTATTCAGTAGTATTATGGGAATGCCCTCAAACAAATCTGATCATACTTTGTATGGGGAACTTTTTTTATGGGGTTCTTAGTGGTATTGCCATTTTTTGTGCTCTTTTTGTTTAAAATACTGTTTCATGTTCTCTCTTTTGTTATCATTGTTGCACTTTCAATTGCCAAAATCACCATGACCCTTTTTTGGAAAACATATTTGTTTCATTCATAGCTTCCTAGGTAACTGTTAAGTCTTGGCCCATAAAGAAAACTTCTGTGATATATTTTTTCGGACAATAAATAAAAGAGAAGGAAGTGTGGAAACACAATAAGACAGGCAAACTAGTTACAAATATAACAAAAAAGACATCTAGAGTGCAACATAGTCTTCTACAATAGACAGGTGTCTACCATGTAATATGTCAAGATCTTAATTGTCCTCAGTCTCTAAAAATTGTTAATTAATTTAACAGAAACATACATAGATCTGCCATCAACACCCAATGCACCAAATTTGGAAAACTTTAAGATATGAAATGTGATAATGATATATTTTTACCTGCAGATGGAACAATGCCCACTTCATGAGGTTCTGAAGAATGGTCATGCTGAGCTGGCAAAGTATCTGATATCTGAAGGTGCAATGGTTACTGGGAAAATCAAGGTCTGTATAAGTATATGCTTCTTTTGCATTATAAACCATGAAATCCTAAAAAAAAATACCAAAATGAAAGTATAATATAAATTCTTCAGTAGACTTTGACCCTAATCAACAAACTCAGAAAATGTTTCTAATAATTTAAATGATGGTGTCAACATGTGAACATATTTATCATACGTTGATTACAACATTTAAGGCTGTCAGTAACAATACATTTTCTTTATAAAAAAATTGGTGCTTGTCAAAATCTTTTGAAACTTGAACACCATGTTATGAACTGTAAAATAAAGGTCTAGTTCAATTTTGGAGGTATTTGCATTTCAGTTCAAGAATACTGTGGATTCTTTTATTCTCATGGATTGAGGGAAAATTGTATTTTCTTATAAAACGATATTTAGTTTCGTGGTTTTTCCAAAGTTTACTTACAAGCTTATAGAAAATTCAACCTCTGTTTAACTTTTAAATTTTTGGGAGGGTTGCCTGGTGATAATGGAAGTGCTAGTTTAGATTTTAATCCAGTGCTAAAACCATGAAATACAGGTCATATTAAGTTTTGGTTTAGGCATTTACCATTGATGAGTTTTACTGCAAGCAAAGGTATCTGTGATCACTAGATCATGATATTCTAGTTTATATAATGCAAAGACTTTATTTAATTGCAGGGAGTTTTCCAATGTATGATAGATAACAAAGATATAAAAACCGAAGACAGAATTTCTCTTTGTGATATTTTCATAGACGCTGGATATCCCATCCATAGCAATTCAAGTTTACCTCAAATTCTCTCAAGGAAACCAAATATGGACCAAAACTTTGTCAAACATGTTCAAACACGACAGCTTGAGCTTTTGACTTTAAAATCTATGTGTAGAATATGTGTGAGGAATGAACTGATCAAAAAGACAAATGGATGTTCTATTAGAGGGAAGCTTTCACAACTACCATTACCAAAACTGTTACAGAATTATATAATTTTGTGACCTTGAATTTGTAATTATAAGGCTTTTTTCATGAAAATTTTTATGTAGATGATGTTTTTATTTTCAGGTTTTTAACATGTAAAAATATCATCACAAGTCACAATATAAAGCCTTTTCAGTTAGTAATCAGAGTGATAAACTAAAAAGGTTTATATTGTGAGAAAAGGGCTGATTAAAAAAGTTTATATTGTGTCAAAGGGCTGATTAAAAAGGTTTATATTGTGTCAAAGGTCTGATATTTTACATTATTGTTTTGCTGAGAATTGATGATCTCAGTGATTTGCCTTCATTTAATTGTTACTTGATTCAAAACATACATTCAGAACATTCAGAATTTTACATGTGCACCTATTGATTTTATTATTTACTGACATAACTAATGAATTCTGAACATGTGGTCATAGAATATTGCAAGCATATATGGAAATGCCAGTTATAATTACTGCAAATTTCATCATGTTGTATTTTTGCATGAATTTTTTTCAAATGTGTTTTGACAGCTTTTTTTGAGGATTTGTGGTAAATTTGATATCGCCAATTTTAAGTATTATGTTAAGTTAATACCTCTGAGTTAAATGATATCATGAAGCAAAGCCTTCAATTTAAAATACATAGATGTAAAGCTAGTCTCTCAATCTGTGTGGAGGGTACAGAAAGTTTCTCCATGCTTGGCTGTATGCTCTCATATTTTTACAGCAATGGAATATTTGTTCTTCAGATATCTATTTTTATATGTGCTACTTCACTTTTCACGTTTAGTTTGTTTATAATTATGCAGACCATTTGATTTCTTTTTATTTAATAAGACATTATTTCCTTCCAGGTTATCTAAAATTAATCCTTATGTGCCAAGTGGTTGTCTAAATGTTTTTATTGGCAATTTTAACATTTTACCTTTAATTATACAACCTCATATTTTTTAGGTCATTGACCGAAGCTGATACTCAAAAATATTAGGCAATAACATCAAGTATCAGTGCAGCAACATCACATATTCATGTCCATCTGAGTCACTTTATCATTAAAATGCATGCGACTTCATTCATACAACCAAACAACTATCATGTTTTGATCACGTAAAAATACTTATACTAACTATTTCATTTTATTTCATATTTTCAACCATAAAAATATATTCTTAATGCAATATGTTGATAAAAAGAATAATGGCATTTTATTTTTTATCCTGACTTCATCAGCTTGAATATCAGCTTGGCCTTGTTGGCTGGTTTGATATTCTTGTGATAAAGTCAGTAAAATATGCCATTATTCTGTATTTATCCTGCAATATTGGGTATCATTTACTACCCAACAGATATCGTACCGATATAATAGTACACTTTTTACGTTTATCACTTAAAGCTCCAACCACACAAAATCATGAACACAATGTTAAACAGTGTTTTATTATTGTTAATTACTATTAAATTTAATTGTTATGTTACAATAAATGGTTATTAACTTGAAGGATGTATTTTTATGTGAGCATGAGTGATTCTTTCCTGTGTACCAATCATCAGATGATTGTCAATTTTTTTTTGTAAATATTACGTAATATGCAAGTGGCCTTCATGGGGGAAACTAAACAAAATGAATTAAATTTTAAATGAAAACAATTTCGATAAAAATGAGTTTACCAATATGATAAAACAACAATATTACCCAAATTAATTGAAGTGTTTGAAGCTTAAGCTTGCATTTCACCTGTTGTTTTGTTTTGCCTCGTACAAATACAGCTGATTTTAAAGGAAAGAAACACATAACTGACTGTGTATTATTTCAGTATTTTACAATGATGTTGTTGGGTAAGTTATGACATCTGTGTACTACAATGAATAGATGTTGTTTATTGGATATCTTGAACATGCAATGTGTGAAGGACTTTTGCTCTCCACTCAATCTGACATTGAGACGAAGAATAGCAATAAAAGCACATTTACTATTCTCAAGATTTTGCCAAGTGCTTGTTAGCTCACCTGGCCCAAAGGGCCAAGTGAGCTTTTCTCATCACTTGGCGTCCGTCGTCGTCATTAGCTTTTTACAAAAATCTTCTTCTCTTAACTACTGAGACAAATTTAACCATACTTGGCCATAATCATTATTAGGGTATCTAGTTTAAAAATTTGTCTGATGACCCCGCCTTCCAACCATCATGGCCAACTTGGTTAAAAATAGAACATAGGGGTAAAATGCAGTTTTTGGTTTATATCTCTGAAACTAAAGCATTTAGAGCAAATCTGACAGGTGGCAAAAATGTTCATCAGATTTAGATTTATCTACCCTGAAATTTTCAGACGAATCTGACAACCCGTTGTTGGGTTGCTGCCCCTGAGTTAGTAATTTTACAGAAATTTTGCAGTTTTTTAGCTCACCTGGCCCAAAGGGACAAGTGAGCTTTTCTCATCACTTGGCGTCCGTCGTCCGTCATCGTTAGCTTTTTACAAAAATCTTCTCCTCTGAAACCATTGGGCCAAATTTAAACAAACTTTGGCCACAATCATCATTAGGGTATCTAGTTTAAAAAATGTGTCCGATGACCCTTCCAACCAACCAAGATGGCCACCATGGCTAAAAATAGAACATAGGGGTAAAATGTAGATTTTGGCTTATATCTCTGGAACCAAAGCATTTAGAGTAAATCTGACGTAGGGTAAAACTGATTATCAGGTCAAGATCTATCTGCCCTGTAAATTTCAGACAAATCTGACAACCTGTTGTTGGGTTGCTGCCCCTGAATTGGTAATTTTAAGGAAATTTTGCAGTTTTTGATTATTATAGATGGAGATAAACTGTAAACAGCAATAATGTTCAGCAAAGTAAGATCTACAAATAAGTTGTCATGACCAAAATTGTCAGCCGACCCCTTTAGGAGTTATTGCCCTTAATAGTCAATTTTTAACAATTTTTCGTAAATTTTTGTAATCTTTTACAAAAATCTTCTTCTCTGAAACTACTGGGACAAATTTAACCATACTTGGCCATAATCATTATTAGGGTATCTAGTTTAAAAAACTTGTCCGATGACCCCGCCTTCCAACCATCATGGCCAACTTGGTTAAAAATAGAACATAGGGGTAAAATGCAGTTTTTAGTTTATATCTCTGAAACTAAAGCATTTAGAGCAAATCTGACAGGTGGCAAAAATGTTCATCAGATTTAGATTTATCTGCCCTGAAATTTTCAGAGGAATCGGACAACCCGTTGTTGGGTTGCTGCCCCTGAGTTAGTAATTCACCGTAGGGGAGGGGGCATTAAGTTTTACCCTTGTCCGTCTGTACGTACGTACGAACGAACGAACGTACGTACGTATGTACGTACGTCCCAAAATTGGTTTCCGTTCTCTAATTTTTGTTTGCCTTAACCAAATGTTATGAAACTTATACACAATGCTTATTACCACAAAACACAGATCAAGATTGAATTTTGGTGGCGTCACTTTTACCGTTCTAGAGTTTTGCCCCTTTACAAATGGAAAAATTGCTGAATTTTTCGTTTCCATTCTCTAATTTTAGTTTGCCTCAACCAAATGTTATGAAACTTATACACAATGCTTATTACCACAAAACACAGATCAAGATTGAATTTTGGTGGCGTCACTTTTACCGTTCTAGAGTTATGCCCCTTTACAAATGGAAAAATTGCTGAATTTTTCGTTTCCGTTCTCTAATTTTTGTTTGCCTTAACCAAATGTTATGAAACTTATACACAATGCTTATTACCACAAAACACAGATCAAGTTTGAATTTTGGTGGCGTCACTTTTACCTTTCTAGAGTTTTGCCCCTTTACAAATGGAAAAATTGCTGAATTTTTCGTTTCCATTCTCTAATTTTAGTTTGCCTCAACTTAATGTTATGAAACTTATACAGAATGCTTATTACCATAAAACACAGATCAAGTTTCAATTTTGGTGACGTCACTTTTACTGTTCTAGAGTATTACCTTTAGAAATGGAAAAATTGCAAAATTTTTATTTTCTTCTAAATATCAAGTAATTTTTATACGACCGCAAAAAAATTTTTGTGGTCGTATATTGGTATGACGTTGGCATCGTCGTCGTCATCGTCGTCCGAAGACACATTAGTTTTCGCACTTTAACTTTAGTTTAAGTGAATGGATCTCTATGAAATTTTACCATAAGGTTCAATACCACAAAAGGAAGGTGGGGATTGATTTTGGGGGTAATGGTACCAACAGATAAGGAATTAGGGGCCAAAAAGGGGCCAAAAATAAGCATTTTTGTAACTTCCAGACATAACTTGTGTTTAAGTGTATGGATCTCTCTGACAGTGTACCACAAGGTTCCATATTACAAAGGGAATGATGGGATTGATTTTGGGAGTAATTGCCTCCAAATTTTAGGAATAAGGGGCCAAAAAGGGCATAAAACAAGCATTTTTCTAGTTTCATGACAATAACTTGTGTGTAAGTGTATGAATCTCTCTGACATTGTATCACAAGGTTCCATATCACAAAGGGAATGCTGGGATTGATTTTGGGGGTAATTGCCTCCAAATTTTAGGAATATGGGGACATAAAAGGGGCAAAAAACAAGCATTTTTCTAGTTTCATGACAATAAGTTGTGTGTAAGTGTATGGATCTTTATGAAATTGTACTGCAAGGTTCCATATCACAAAGGGAAAGCTGGGTTTGAGTTTGGGGGTAATTGCCCAAAAAGTTTAGGAATAAGGGGCCAAAAATAAGCATTTTTCTAGTTTCCAGACAATAACTTGTGTTCAAGTGTATGGATCTCTCTGAAATTGTACTGCAAGGTACCATACCACAAAGGGAAGGCTGGGATTGATTTTGGGGGTAATTCCCTCAAAATTTTAGTAATATGGGGACATAAAAGGGCAAAAAAACAAACATTTTTCTAGTTTCAGGACAATAACTTGTGTGTAAGTGTATGGATCTTTATGAAATTGTACTGCAAGGTTCCATATCACAAAGGGAAAGCTGGGTTTGAGTTTGGAGGTAATTGCCGTAAACGTTTAGGAATTTGGGGCCAAAAAGGGGCCAAAAAACAAGCATTTTTCTAGTTTCAAGACAATAACTTGTGTTCAAGTGTATGGATCTCTCTGAAATTGTACTGCAAGGTACCATACCACAAAGGGAAGGCTGGGATTGAGTTTGGGGGTGATGAATCATAAGGGGGTTCAAAAATTTGGGGGGGGGGGATTTTTTTTTCCTTTTTTTTCTTTAAAATTTTCCATTTTAAATTGGTTATTTCTGATTTATATATAAAAGCAAATAATAATGATATGGTTTGAATAGGTAAATTAAAAAAATTTTAGTTCTTAGACCACTTTCATTCTGTGTCAGAAACCTATGCTGTGTCAAATATTTAATTGCAATCCAAATTCATTGCTGTATCAAGCTTGAATGTTGTGTCCATACTTGCCCTAACTGTTCAGGGTCGACCTCTGCGGTCGTATCAAGCTGCGCCCCAGCGAAGCATTTTATTAAAATTGGAGTTATCTTCCTTT